AATAGAAATGTACTAAAAAAAAAATAAACAAATGTTTGAATTTTTTTTTTTTTTTTTTTAATCAAAAAAGAAATTTTAAAATATATAGATATGATAGATTTTGGACTGAGGTTGATGTATCAAAAAAAATATTAAAATTATTATTATAAATAAAAAACCCATTTAATAACATTAATTCAACTAAACTTTTTTAAAAAAGCCATCTAAACTGACTATCACTTGTGTGATTGATTCAATCATTAACACTAAGAAACAAACAATTTCAGAATTATTGAAATTAATGCCATTACAAAGGTGAAATAAAATAATAATTTTTTAAATATAATTAATTATATATCTTTAATAAAACAAAACAAACATGACTTAGCTGTTTAATCATTTCCCTGTATGTGAATGCCTCCATCCATCAAATATTCATGATGGTCATGATTATTATTCAATATTGAGATAACAAACAATTGCATCACCCAAGCAGTAATAATACCAAGGCCATGCATGAATGAAATTTTTAATAATGCCTGTCTACCCAGATTTCTGGGATTCACAATAATAAATTAATCTTCATGATTATCAATCATGGTTCCTTATGAATAATAAATCTGATGTTGATCATAGGTGTCAGATTTAATTAAAATTTCCTATCACAAACAAGCAAGCGCTATGCAATCAAGCACAATTCAGCACCATAGAATTTATTCCACAGGTGAAAGTGACTTGAACAAGTTGGTAGGCTTTGGACAAAACTTTTCTTTATCTTCCCCTCAGACCAAGCTGGCTGTCACCATATGGGCATTGATCACTGATAGCTGGTGCTTGTGCGATGTTTGCTTTGTGTTATCACTAGGATAATGTTGATTTAAATAACAAGTTCAGTTGGTCAGATAAAAATTAAAGAGAAGCAGAAAATTTATGAAAATGATTAATTTATATATAACATATCAAACAAAAACTGAACCATTTTATTTTACAGCATTCCTAACATCAGAGCCCAAACGCAATTTCAGAGCCACTAACCCTGCCCCCGAACTGTGAACCTCCATGAGTTGCAGATTCTCTTAATAGCCTCCAGAGTTGCGACTTGGTCACAGAGCCATCCTTACCCTAGAGGCAGGATCGTTGGAGGCGACTTTTTGGCTAACGTGGCAGCAGCCTTCTCTGGTCTGGGTAGATTAGTGAAAACGTCATTGACGATTGATGCAGTCTTGGTAAACTCCAGAGCCACGTCCCCCCCCCTGAAAATTTAACAGCATCATTGTATCATTGGGGCACACTAGTCAGATTAGCCTTGTGTACACGAGAAAGGTGAGAGAATGACTGTAATGTTCAAGGTAGCGTGTGTGCTTCAATGTCTGCTAATTTCCGATAATCAAACATCACATATCAAAATGTTTCATATTTGAAATATTTATATCCAACAGTGTGCTGCCTTGACATCATCTTGTAATAATTATATATATAATAATATAATATTATTATTACGATTACGCAAAGCAAAGTACCAATTGTTCATTTGTTATCATCTTGATAAGAATCTTATAATTACCCAGCAAGTTCTGCTCTGCGTTTTGATTTCCTTAAAATATTCACATAACAAAATATAGTACCTCCGGTTAGTTATTAACACATCTTCAGAACTAAATCATACCAAACAACATTCACGTTTCCTCATCTTTGTCAAAAATAAATTGTTTTTCAAGAAAAAAACTAATTCGCGTCTTTGTCTTTTTAAAAAATGTCAAAACAACAACAAAAGGAAAATACGAGATCGCTGGGTAAGTGTTACTTATTAAAAATAATGGTGGTTATCACCACTTGTCATTCTAAGAGTAGTGGTTGTTTTAAGTAATTCCGGTCGAGTTAAAACTTATTTTATTTTATTTTATTTTTTTAGCGCTTCATGCTCGTCATATATTTCATCGTCTTCAGCTCCATCATCACCGAGATACTAATATATTATCTTTAAATAAGCAATACTTTAATAAATTTGAACTTCTTAATAATATTAATTTCTTAATAACAAGATCAACGAAATACTTAAAAATCAAAGGGAAAGAAATAATAATATAGAAAAATAGCAGAATTAGATAAAGGCGAATTTGAAACATATAAAAATATACCTCAAATGTTTCCTATTGAAGAAAATGAACCATTAAAATGGTTGGCAATTCCTTCTTCATCATCTCCTTTAGAAAGACTTTTTTCCGATGCGGGGCAATAAATTACTTTATTGCGAAACAGACTTAGTTCATAGTCTGTTGATCAAGTTCCACGAAACAAAAAAATTTGTTATAAAAATCGAAAATAAAAATTAAGATTCATATTGTGATAAATAAGACTTTTGGACATGCGACCTAGCCCCGTTTTAATATATTTGAATTTTTATATTTTACATTTGTGTTTACTATACTGTAAAGTGTGTTTACAGATTTGCCAAAGCTTTCTAGGTATAAGAAAGATGCAGTAAACAGGATAATTGTTAAATAAATTCATAGAATAAATTAATTGACGAGTATAGCTAAAAGTTAACTCGGACTCGGCCATAAACGTAAGACAATCAAGAAGATTGACCAAAAGGTCATTCGCAATATAAAAATCGAATATTTCGATTTACCGATCAGTTTACGATTTCAATTATCAATTGTAAAAAATCAATCGATTAACAACTCTACTAGAAATGATTAATGCATTAAAAATAACTTGGAAAATTTCATTGACTTAGTAGTATCAGATGATGATGCAAAATTTATTTTAATAATTTATTATTTTACGTTTTTTTGTTAATTTAAATCTTTAAATTGACAATTCTCTGATTCCACCGAATTTACATTCTTATATTTTCAATCGATGGATTCTCATTTTATTTCTCTCTTATTCTCTTCTTTCCTATTTTATTTCTTTTATTTCTTTTCTACATTCCTTTATTTTGATTCCTTTACTATTTATTTCATACCTTTCGAGGTTAAACCTACAGTCAAACCTCGTTATAGATAGCCCTCGTTGTAACGGATTTTAGATTTAAGAAATAACGAATTTACTAGTCGCGTTATAACGGATTTTATGTTTTTATATATTTTCCTTAATAATATTCGTATTTAATTATGTTACACTTCGCTATAACGAAGTTCGACTGTATTTCATTTCCTTGTTTGAATGCAATTGACAAAGCCAAGCAACCTTTATTTATCTTTATCAACAAATTCTTAAGGATTTTCATTTAATCAATTTAGTATTCAGTTATTCCACGGAAATCCTGATCAGTTATTTAAATTATATTATCAATGTAAGGAATCAACTAATAACCTTTGTCAAAATAAAACTTGTTATCCTTGTGGGATTAAAGGACACATTAAAAAAAGTGAAGTTCAAGGATTAATTGAAGAAGGAATAGAATTTGTATTTCCTTATTGTAACTACTGGAGAAAAGAATGACACTTAAGAAAGGATTGTGATAATTTAATAAAGGATAACATTGTTACTCCAGTAGAGGAACCTTTATTCGAAGAAGTACCTTATTATCCAATATAAAATATCCATCACTTGGAAATGTATGTTGTGGATTTTAATATAATAATAATAACAGTCTCTATTAGACATAAGTTGCAAGGATGTTGAGAAAAATACAAGAATCTGTTCAATATTAGATCCTCCTTCAATATTAAGACTTTTTTTAATAATATTGAAATTGGAGAAGCTAACAAAGAAATTAAAAAATAAATAACTGAATACATCACAATGCAAACAATAGTAATCATCCTCAACCAACTTTACATGATATATATTTTTATAATCTTTTCGCTGTTAATGATAATAACCCTAATACTAATCATCACAATAATACAATAATTAGTTCAATTTGCCTTCAACTTCAGATAACATGAAAGAGGAATTTTCACCATTAGCCAAAATAGCCAAAGATTGCCTATCAAGGTTTCAACCAGAAATCACCAAAGCTTGCTTATGCCTAAAATTGGATCAATAATGATTTGGGTAATAAAGATATTGTAGAAATTAATATTGATAATGATTTAGTAATGGAGAAAGATGATGATGATATTAATTGTTTGGACTATTTAGATGAGTAAATATGTTTTTGTATTTTATCATGATAATATTATTATCTAATTGTCATGTGAGTTTTGTTTTTAGGTTAATAATTTCATTTATTACATAATAATAAATAAATTGATAATGGTCTGGTGACTAAATATTTAAATAAATAAATTGAATTTTAAAAAGACTAGACTGGTCTAACTATTTAACAGCTTTAGTGCCATGGTCCTAAGACTATATATCCAAACAGTCCAGACCGAGTTTTAAGGCTGAGACCAGTCCATCCCAAGCATGGATGGACCAGTTTTAGATCGGGCCGGATTAGATGTGCCATTTAGCATCGCCACCTGGAAAACAACCAAGGTCCGGATTTTTGAGAGTTTTTCCAATAATATCGGACAAGTCTTATAGGAATAAATATTTAAAATAACAGATTCAATATTTGGTGGTGAAACATTCTTCAAATATTTTATCACAATTGTCTTCTCCGAATAATGAAAATGCGCAGAGCGTAAAATAACTGGGTATCAAGATTCCCTCCGTCGGTTGCTTTTTTTTAGATTCTAAATTTTTCTCTTTCATATCAAGCGCCCACCAATATTTGACAGTGTTAACAACACTGTCATCAAGAGGCTGGCGAATAAATAGTTCTCTAAAATACTTGGAGTGCCTGTTCTATTTCTTTTTTAATACCTTTGTAGGTTTTAATTGTATCATCGAGTCGCAAGCTTTTAAACGTTGTGTGTTAATATATTCTCGCTCAAGCAATTTTTTTATTTCAAGAAAACAAATAAACTTATTGAATAGTTTAAAACAGTGTTTCAAAAATTGGTCTTTTTATATTTACATAAATTGCCGCTTTACATCTCAAATTGTAAACATTTATAATTCAATGAAAATATGTGACCAAATTTTTAATCATTGCCTCCATTGTTATTTTTATCCCAAACATGGCATGGTCAAGCACCAATCACGTAGTGGGTAATGGGGCGCTAGAAATAATGTTCTCGTGATATATAGATTATCCCGATCGATATTAAAGTACTAGTATGTATCGAAAATTTTGGGGCGGGATGTTTGGATACAAAATTCTGATTGGCTAATTTGAATTCACGCGAGTGATAAATATAACAATTATATCAAAATAATTTGTTTCTCAATTAAAAATAATTAATTATCTTTAAAATAAATAGTTAAATAAATGTATTCTGAAGTTACTAATCTTTTGGAATTACCTGGAGATGGAACTTTCCGTACCACTCTTCTTTTTAGTGTCACTGATAAAGTTGGTATTTTAGATGAATGTTTATTAGCTATTAAGAAACAAAATATTTCTTTGACAAGAATTGAAAGGTATATTTTTCACCTTTAAAGTTACTATCATCATTCATTACTGTTATCGTTATCATTATTAATGTTACCATTAATCAATAAAGTCGCCCAAGTAAAACACCTGAATGGGATTACGATTTTTTCGTTGATTTTAATGTTGAGAATGCTACTCAACTTTCTAATATAGTTTCCGCCCTAAAGAATGTAACTAAACAAGTAAAAATTGCTGGTGCTGAAACTACTGAAGCTACTGAAGGTCATTAGATCATCATAAATATTGTTGTTATTATTTTTTTATCATGCTAACCAATTTTTTGTTTTTTGTTTATCATTGAAAACAGTTAGCACTCCTTGGTTTCCACGTAAAAAATCAGATCTGGACACATTTGCTGATAAGGTTTTGGAAATGGGCGAAGATCTCGGTAACAATTTATATTTCATTCTTTGATAAAATTGAAATGTCACTCACTCACTTTTACTTGTTATTAGACTCGGATCATCCTGGAGCAAATGATCCAGAGTATCGTGTCAGACGTGCACAAATTACACGTATTGCAAAAACTCATAAGAGTGGTCAACCTATACCAACTGTTGAATATACAACTAGAGAAATTGAAACTTGGGGCGCTGTTTTTCGTAACTTAATGAAATTATATCCAACTCATGCTTGCAGAGAGCATCTATACGTGTTTCCATTGTTGACTCAAAATTGTGGATATAATGAAAAAAATATACCGCAATTAGAAGATGTATCTAAATACTTAAAAGGCAAATATTAAATTTTATTTTTTTATCCTTAAATTAATACTCATTATAATGATGTTATAATTTGTTATTATTATTAATGATACATTAGAATGTACTGGATTTACTTTAAGACCAGTAATGGGTTTGCTCACTTCTCGTGATTTTCCAACAGATATGATGACATTTGTTAGATCGACGTAAAATTCCAAATAAAAAAAATTTTTTAACATTAACCGT